TGCCCAAATTTTCTGTCCATTTTTTAATTTAATTGTTTGGTTCTTTATTGTTGATTTTTGAGGGCTTTATACATTCTGGATACAAATCCTTTACCAGATTTGAGGTCTGTAAATATTTTCTTTCAGTCTGTGATATCTTTTCATTCCCTTAACATTATCTATCAAAGAGCAGAAGTTCTTAATTTTTATGAAGTCCAATTAATCATTTTTTCCCTTATGGATCATGATTTTGGTATCATATCTAAGAAATCTTTGCCCAACTCAAGGTCACAGAGATTTTCTCCTAGAAGTTTTATAGTTTTAGGTTTTATATCTAGGGCTCTGATCCATTTTAAGTTAATTTTCATATATGGTTCAAGGTTTATTTATTGCATATAGATGTCAAAATGTTCCATCACCATTCATTGAAAAGACTACCACTATGTCAAAATCATATTGGTCATATATATGTGGATCTGTTTCTGGGTTCTGTATTCTGTTACATTGAACTACATTTCTGTCCTTTATTTAATGCCACTGTCTTGATTCTTAGTGTGATAGTAAGTCTTAAAACCAGGTGGTAATTTCTTTAGTTATTCTGTATCTTTTCCTTCTCATATAAATTGTAGAAATAGCTTGAAATTAATGTAAGGTAATATTGGGTATCAACAGTAATTGAAAAATAAAATTTAAAAGAAACATCTTGTTGATTTCTATTTTAAAATTCTAGGATTTTTATTAGAATTACATTGAATCTGTACATTGGTTTGGGAAAAATAGCTATCTTAATATTGAGACTTCCAATCTATGAACATGGTGTATCTCTCTATTTATTTAGATCTTGTTTGATTTCTTCCATCAGTCTTCTGTAGTTTTCTGCATACAAATCTTGCATATGTTTTGTTAGATTATCACCTAAGTATATCATGGATTTTGGTGATAGTATAAATGGTATTGTCTTTATTTCAATTTCTATTTGTTCATTGCCAATATGTAGAAATATAATTGATTTTTATCTAATTGAGCTTATATCCTGCAACTTTGCTAAACTAGTTCTAGTAGCTATTTGTAGATTTTGAGGGGATGGTTTTCTACATAGACAATCATGTTATCTGTGAATAGGTACAATCTTATTTATTTTCAATCTGTGCGCCTTTTATTTCTTTTCTTGCCTTATTGCACTGGCTAGTAGTTCTACTATAATGTTGAATATGAATTGTGAGGGTGGATATCTTTGACTTATTTTTAATCTTAAGAGAAAGCATTTAGTCATTCATCATTGAGTATAAAGTTAGCTGTAGGTTTTTTTGTAAGTCCTTCTATTCTTAGTTTGCTGAGAGTTTTTACTATGGACAGATGTTAACTTCTGTCATATCAAATGCTTTTTCTGCATCTATTGAGATGATCATATTTTTCATTTTTAGTCTTTTGATGATTTTCTTTAGTGTATTGATAAATTACATTATTTGATTTTCAAAAGTTGAACCAATTATAATTCCCAGTATAAACTTTATTTTGTCATAATTCAGTATCCTTTTTATATATTTCTGGACTCAATCTGCTAATTTTTTTAAAGGATTTTTGCATCTATGTTCATGAAGAATATTGGTAGTAGCTTTCTTTTCATGCAAACTATTTGTCTGGTTTTGGTTTCAGGGTAATTCTGGCCTCATATAATGAGTTTAAAGTGTTCTCTTTTCTTCTATTTTTCTGGAAGTTGTTTAGAATTGGTATTATTTCTTCTCTAAATGTTTGATAAAATTTACCAATGAAGATCTATGTATGTGGAGTTTATTTGATGGAAGGTCTTAATATAATTTTAGTTTCCTTAAAAGATAACCTGAATAGTGATATTTATCAGTTTTCATCTTAAGAAATTTGTCCATACCATCTAAGTTGTAGAATTTTTGAACATTTGTTCATAATACTCCTTTTGTATCCTTTTTAATGTCTATAAGGTCTTAGTAATGTCCCCTCTTTCAATCCTAACATTTGCAATTTGTGTCTTCTTTTTTTCCCTTGGTCAGTTTGTATTAGTTATCTATTGCTACAAAGGAAATAATTCCAAAACTTAGTGACCTAGAACAATAAACATCTCACAATTTCTTTGGGTCAGGAATCTGGGAATAGTTTAGCTAGTTGGTTCTGATATAATACCTTTCATGAGGCTGCAGTGAGATGTCAGCTGGAACTGCAGTTATCAGGCTTGACCAGAGCTGGAGGATCCACTTCCAAGCTCACTCACAGGGCTGTTGACTGGAGGCTTCAGTCCCTCACCATGTGGGTATGGCACCGGGGCTGGTCTCCCCTAGAATGAGCAATCTAAGAGGAGAAAGCAAGAGAGGGTGTAATACAGAAGCCTCTGTCTTTTATAACCTACTCTTGGAAGTAGAATGCCGTCACTTCTACCATATGCTATTGGTCTCATAGACCAAGTCTCATGCAGTGTAGGAAGGGACTACAAATATTATGACTACCAGGAGGTGGGGGCCATTGTGGATGCTGGTTAACCACAAGTATCAATTTTATTGATCTGTTCAAAGGACCAGCTTTTGGTTCCTTTGATTTATCTGTTATATTTATATTCTTGATTTTATTGATTTCTGCTCTTATCTTTATTATTTCCTTCTTTCTGCAGATAGACAAATCTTATCGAGAAGATGTATATGATCTCTTTCCTGGGACATTCCAAACCGTCGAATTGTTCGCAGATCACCCAGGGACATGGCTGTTACACTGTCATGTGTCTGATCACATCCATGCTGGCATGGAAACAACCTACACAGTCCTTCGGAACATAGGTATGCTGTTGTCTGCTAGTGATGCGGGGGGATAGAACCAAGCTTCCTGTAGACCCTGAAAACAGTAGGCATGAGATCCCCCCAAGGAGCTCAGAGTCAAGCAAGAGAGAGACAGACATGTAAATAGTAACCATAATAGAATATGAAACATACCAAAATAGAGTGCAGAGCACAGGATTCAGCAACAGCAGTAGGAAGCAATGGTTAACAGTCTGGGGATATGAGCCAACGTTCCACAGAGGCCATATGGTTTAGATGGCTCTTCATGGATGAGTAGAAATTTAAAAGATGATTGGGGTAGGAACAGCATATATAGTGGAATGAAGAGTAACACAGTCAGAATCCAAGAAAGACTTACAGATACTGAAGGGATAAAGTCCTTGGTGAAATGAAACAACTCTTGAAACAACTCTTGTCATGAAAAGAACCTACTTCTATTGTTTATAAAACAATCAACTTGTCTTCTTTGTCCAGACAACAGGATTCCTTACTCCACCAAGTCTCCTCCAGGAACAGCGACCCACCCGGCCACCACGCCCTCCAGCGGTAACCACCCCTCCCTGAACCCTGCATGGGAATGGCCAGTGCTCACTCTCCTGGGAAAGGTAGAGGACTGACACCTCACTTTTCTTTTTCACAGAAGAACCTGTGAAGGAGCAACTCTATTTCTTTGGCAAGAATCTGGGTCCTAGAGGAGCTAAAGCAGCCTTGGTCATCCTTTTCATCATCGGCCTCTTCCTCCTGGTCGTCACCATGGTCCTCTCCCTCCGACTGCACTCTGCAAGGAAGCAGGTGGCCTACCAGGCCGTCCAGTCCTGCGCGCTCCCCACCGATGCTCTGTGAGCTGGCTGCTCTTCCAACGCAGGGAAACTGGACAAGGCATCGTTCACCAAGGAAGGTCGACGCTGTGCCCTGGATCGGGCTCTGATCCTCGGGAACACAAGCGAAGCAATTTGCTTTTATTTATTTATTTTTAAATGGGCTGTGAATAATCCTCAGGTATAAAATACAGAGAGAGGAGAATGGGTGTGACTAACAGAACAGTCTTAGCCTGTTCTCGGAATGAATTTGCTGAAGTGCGGGTTCCCTTCGAAAGATATCTTTATTTTACACCTTTCATAATTCTTAGACAGCCAGCGCTTTCTTAGCTAACAGTAAGTTTTTAGAAGGACGACTTCTGGAAAGAGTGATACTGCCTCAGACATCTAACTGGAATAGCACTGATTTTTCAACCCTATTAAGTAAGACGCTTCCCTTAGCTGTTCCAGGGAAAATGTCTTTCTGGGGAGCTCATGGAAATGTCGCGTCAGTATCTGCTGATAGAATCTGACCAAGAGAATATTTTAGAGGCCTCCGCCAGCTCTCCCAACCTTCCCCACTTGAATATAAATAGCCTGCACACTATTTGTTACAAAAGGCAAAGTTATAAACATTTTAAGAATATGGCTGCTGTTTTTTATGCAAACTCGTAGGGACACTTGAATGTTTATGACTCACTTTATGTTATTAGTTTTTACAATGTTTCCATGGCAACGTTTGTATTTTCAAGAATCAACTAGAGAACTTGCATGTGTTTCAGAAGGTGGGGGGCTGGAGTCTGTGAACCAGCAGGCCGGGTTCTCCACCAGGAGTCAGAGGCTCCCTGGGAGTTTAGCGGGCGCTTCTAAGATGGAGGGAATCTCTGCAGGAGGCGAGTCCAGGCTTGAGTCCTGAGTCTGATTTTGTATTCACATAAAGGATCCTTCCAAGTCTCCACCTTCTAGGAAATAAAAACTGTCTCATCATGTAAGAAACGCCAGGAAGAATTCGTCAATGCAGCTGACTGGTTGGGGGGAGAAGGGAATCTCACAAAATTCTTGATTCCACGCCTCTTAAAGACAGCCCTTTGTGGGAGGAGATAAAAAAGGAAAGGAAAGGCTAGAAAAAGAGCGTCCCACTGGCAATATTTTACTCCATTAAATCAGCTTTCAAAATAAGTATTACAGCTTTCAAGGCTCAAATGCAAAAATAAAATATTGAACAACTAAACTCAAGCCCACTGTGAGGCAATCCATGCTCTCTGTATTCATGCCTAAACGTTAGGTGTAAGATTAATAAAAGCAACATTGTTTATTACTAGACTGAGAAATTGCCCTTAGCTCAGGGCAAGAGGCCCTGTGATGCCAATGCCAATGCCAATGCCAATGCCAGACTAGGGATAGTAGTACATCTGCCTTAGCCATGGACTACTTGGGTGTCCAGATGAATGAGGAGGACCTGCTAAATACTGGTGGAGGTTCTTTCATACTTTCTGTCTTCATCTTGGTGAAGGGAAACAGGTAATTTGATAGAAGCTAGTTTTACGTAAAACAGGATGTGAACGCTAATAGTTCTGTTCATAGTTTGGTTGAATGTCCTATCAAGCAGGGTACCCAAAGGGCTCTGAACTCCACCCTGCTGACCACTCATAATGTGATTTTGTGGTAGGTGCTCTACAGTTTTCATACACGTGTCAGCTGTATAATTTCATCATAATGATTATAAGAAATGACTTATTTATAACTCACTTAGACAACAAATTATTTAGTTGTAAGTCTTTTCCCTTTTCTCTTAGTTTATTTTTTTAATAACACGAAAACCAGAAAGTAGCGTGATTATACCATTTCTCTTTTTAATAAAGTTTCACATAAGATGGCTATTTGCATGTTTCTCCTTTATTTTTAAGTAAAAGTTACCCATCATTAAATCTGGGATGGGGGGGATGGTTAAAGGAGAATATATTTTAGATATTTAGCAGCTATCTTAGTTATACTTGCTAAAGGAAATGAAGCAAAATAACAGTAGAACCCTTCCCACACATTGCTTCTTCAAGGATACCACACTTCTTCATTCTCAACCTCACTCCTTTGAGAAAATCAACCACATTACACACCTTTTCCTCCTGTTACAGTCTCTCACTCGGCTCTGGACCTCACCCCTTCTCGCTTTCTCAAGGACTTTACTCCCTCGGTTATCAGTGTCTCCTCCTGCATGAAGTCATCAGCAATGCCTACCATTAAAAATAGACAGCAAAACAAGAGCCATTGGCCTTAACTCCAGAACCTGTCCAACCCAGTTTCTCTGTTCCCTTGAGAGCAGAACTTAAAGCACTGTCCACGCTGGCTGCCTGTACCCCCCCCATGCATTCCTCACCCCATTCCAGTGGCTTCAGTCCAGTGTGCCTTGTCCCCTGCTCCCCCCCCCATCCCAATCTACTCCTGTCAAAATCAATAACATCATGCCATTCCCCTGGCTTCTTCCTACGTTCATCTTACTCAACCTCTCGGCATCGATTGAGGACTCCTTCCTTCTAAACATCCTCTAGTTTCTTGGTGCTGCAACATGACCCCCTGCCAGCCTTCATCTTCCTCAGTTGCTATTCTGTCTGTCTCTTTTGCTAGTTACTTGTCCTTTCTCTGATTTAAATGTTAGCATGCCCCAGGGTCTGCCACTGGGAACTTATCTCTCTTTTACTCTCTGGGGTAGGCTGAATGATGACCTCAAACATTTTATGTCCTAATCTCCAAGTCTGTGAATGTTACTTTATATTGCAAAAAGGACTTCGCAGGTATGATTGAGTTAAAGATCTTAATATGAGAAGTTGATACTGGATTACTCAGATTGGCCATAAGTATAACCACAAAATGCCCTTCTAAAAGAGGCAGAGAGAGATTTGAAAACAGAGGAAGACAATGTGATGACTGAAGCAAGATTCTATGCTGCTGGTTTTGGGAATGGAGGAAGCGGCCACAAGCCAAGGATTGCTGCTTTAAAAGCTGGAGAAAGCAAGGGAACAAATTCTTCACCATAGCCTATGGAGGGAGCATGGCCCACTGACATCTTGATTTTATTCCAGTAAAGCTAATTTCAGACTTCAGACTTCCAGAACTCAAAGAGAATAAATGTATGCCACCAAATGTGTGGTAATTTGTTAAAGACCTTTCCATAGGTTATCTCATCCATCTTCATGAATCTGAAAGCCATCTTTATGCTAATAAATTCAAAATATGTTTCTCGTTAGGCTGCAGACCATAAATCCTGCTCAAGCAGGGTCACTGCAGGAGTCCCCTAACCAGCCTCTCTCTGTCACTCTTGCTCCTTCCACCCACTCCACATAGCTGCAGCAGTGTTCTTCCAAATCTGATCACATCACTTCTTGGTGAATACTCTTTAATGTCTTTCCATTTTGCTTTTTTTTTTCCTTTCTGTACAAACCCAAAATGCCCCCAATTGCTGAGCACAGAAATACTAATGTAAACAGAAAAAATGCACCAACATTGCTTGACGTTTTTTAGCACATTTATTTCATTCATTAAGTCAATGGTCCCCTCACTGATCATTTCTTTTCTCTGCTGTCTAGATGGTCTGTTTCTAATCCACCTGCCTACCCATTCTGGGCAGTCCCCGTCCATATAACCCATTTTAGAATTATGGCTTTTTCTCGGGGATGGACCTACAACACTGCAAACATTGCAGAAAGATCATGGGCTTCAGAGTAATAACCCTGTTTTGGATCCTGGCTTTGTTCTTACCAATATTTTTGTTTCACTTTAAATAATATTCAAACTCCTTAGCCTGGTCTATAAGGCCCATTCTGATCTGGTCCATGCCCACCTCTCCAACTTTGACTCTGTTCGAGCTCTTATCAGTTTTCAGGCCCTGCTAGTTTTTTCTTGCCTCAGGGCCTTTGCATGTTCTGCTTGCTATGCCAGAAACACTCTTCTTCTCCAGCACCCTCATACCCTCTCCTGCCTTCCGTAGTTCAGCTGTGAGCTTCTCAGAATGCCCTCTCTAAAGTGGGTCTCTCTTCCTGTTAGTGCCTATTTCCATTGTTTTCCTTTGTAGCACCTATCACGAGACATAAACATTTAATTGGTCGGTTAGTTTCATTGTTGTCTGCCCTTTTGACTGGAATGTAGGCTCGATGGAAGCAAGGATGTCTGACCTGTTTTGTTCACTGCTGCATCCCCAGCATGCACCATAGTTCAGATACATAATAGTTGCTCAGCAAATATCACTTGAATAAATGAATGAATGAATATATAAACAGAATAGACAGTGTAGTGAGCTCAACTATTTGGACTTTGACTATGTTGGCTGCAAAAGGTCTTATATTCAAGTGTCAAAAGTCAAGGGTCTCAAACAAACAAAACAGTTCTGGGACAGTAGCTTTGGGGCCCACATGTGCTTTGGTCTCCTTCCAACAAATGACACTAGGGCAAGGGGTGGGGGCAGGGAGGACTATTTAATCCCCAAATGTACCTTACAATGATTTTTAAAAAGCAATATAAAAAAACAAGGAAAGCCTAAGAAAGTGTCGCAGCCAAGAGTTGCTAAGGAGACATGACCACTGTTGATGAAAGAATGTCCAGTCAAAGAAAGAGTCTTATAACAGTTTATTTGAACCAAGCCAATGACAATTGCTGGGAAGCAAAATCTTAACAAAATGAGAAAATGCTCTCAAGAAATGCAGTTTTACAACTTATTTTTTAATTGTTTTCTATTTTTATTTTTTTAATAACTTAAAAATTTTTCCCCTTACAGTTGACATTCAATATTTTAGTTTCAGGTGCACAACATAGTAATTAGACATTTATGCAACTTACAGCTTATTTTATGCGCTAGAATCAAAGGAGAAGACATAAGCGGGGTTACATGAAATCTACTGGTGGTAGATTAGGGAGGCAGGAGAAAGTAAAGCAGGAAAATCTCTGAGATTGGATAAAAAGTAAAACAAAGAGACATATACTTCTTTTACATTGGTGAGTATAGGATAATTAACAATTAACATTTACAGCACAGAGATGGTATTTGGGCAATAAGATGACAATGAGGGTTTCTGTGGTCTCTTGCTCTAATGGGAGATTGAACCCTCAGGAGTCTGGAAAAAGATTACTCTGACATTCTAAAGATATGTTATTTTAGATGCAAAATAGACAGGCTCACTTAAAGACTGACCTTTGTCAAGGAAGATACCAGCCTAGGACATGACTGCCTGTCATGACTTGCTTTTAGTTGGGAATTTTTATGTTCAGACCATCCTGTGTGGTTACTTTCAGTCTGTGAGTTTGTAAGGCCCAGAAGAAGAAAGTGCTAGGGAGGGAGTGATTCATCACAACTGGGGGATCTGGGAGGCTTCCAGAAGGGACATTTGAGCCTGTTAGATGTGTAGATTTTGACAAGGAGAGAAGGGTCAAAGCATCCATGCTTTCATTCTCTCCTAGGAGGCTCCCATCCTGGCTCTGCCTGCCACAAACAGACTGATTCATCTGGGTCCCGCTCTTTTATGCATCTCCCTTGGCATACCCCACCTTTCACAAAATCACTTAGCCTTTCCAACTTGTATTATAGTTCATTGTGCACATGCCTTATTTCTCTTATTAAGCCATGAGATCTTCAAGGAAATGGAATGTGTCCGCTTCAGCTTTGCTTCCCCATCTACCAAGCCCAGAACTGGCCCTTCTCTGGCTTCTAACATATGCCTTGAGCGTGTGGATAAATAAATGTAAGTTGGGCTACTTGTTTTCAAGGTGAAACACTTTTAGATTCCTTCAGACAATCAATATTTATTAAAAGACCTATGATGTACAAGGCATTTGTGCAAAGTGTTAGACGTAAGAGTTGTATACACAGGGATGGACCTGCACTCGTGAAGCTTACCATATAAAGGGGGAGACAAATATTAAATAAATGAACAAACACTTGATGGATTATAGTTGTGATTATCGTTGAGAACAAAAAATAGAGGGCAACAATTACAGATAACACTTACATAGCACTCAGCAGCTGTCCTAGGCACTTTATATAGGTTGTCATTTGATCCGTATCACAATCTTGAAAGGTATTACCACTTTATAGATTAAAAAACTGAGGCACAGGAGGGTCAAGTGACTTTAAGCTGGTGAGGCAGTCAGTGACCATGCTAAGAAATTTGAATTTTATCCTAAAAGCAATGTACACTTTAAGGGGGAGGTGACATGATCAGATGGAGCTTTTAAAAGCTCCCTCTGGCAGATGTGGAAGAGACCCGCTTGCAGGCCTATGGGATACATTCCTTTGTGGTTAGGAGAGAGGCTGGTGGCCTGAATTGGGGTGTTGGGAGCACAGGAGAGAATAACTGCCAGGTTTTCTATATTTAGGAGAGAGAAGCAAGAGAATTTGGAAGTGGTTAAGGCAGCTGGGAGAGATGGACGTGGGCAGACGGGTGGATGGTGATGCATTTAGCAAGATGTAGAAGACTAGAGTTCAGGCTGAGAGGAAGATGCGGATTGCAGTTCTGGCCATCTGAGTGTGAAGTCCAGTGAGCCATCCAAGTGGAGATTTGTGTAGGCCGTTGGACGAGTGCTCAGAGGACAGGCCAGGTGGAGATGTACATGTGGGAGTTGAGGGCATATAGAAGAGGCTTGTGTGCAGGGGCCACCACCACACACACACACCTACAAAGGGCAGAGAAGGCAGCCCTGCCAGCTCCAATGAGACCTCACGTTTAAAGGTCCTGTCTGCTCCAAATGTTCCTGATGAGAGCATCTCCTGTCTATTTTCTCAGCACCCACTTTCTGTAAGCGGTTCAGAAGCCGCTCTCCCCCAACACCCCACTCATCCTTGGTCACCCCTCTTCGGGCTCCCAGACCAAGGCTCCGAGCGGGAAAGCAGGAGGAGAAAAGCTCGGACTGAGCCGCGACAACTGCGGCCTGAGACCCCGTCACCCTCAGGGCCGCCCCGCGCCTCCCTGTCACTCAGAGCTCGGGGAGGGGCTCCGGGCTCCTGCTTTCCACACATGCTCAGCCTACACCGCGCAATTGGCTTTTCGTGGCACCCGTTGCTCTTTGAAGCATTCACAGCTCCTTTGAACCCGAGTCACCGCGTGGAAATGTTGGGGGTGGGGCGTAAAAGGGGGTCATTCTGCCCACGGGGGAAGGGGTTGCTTTCAGACATGTTTTCAAAAGTCCCGGGCCAGGAAGTGGGAGAATGAGGACGGGAGGAGCGCGAGAATAATCAGACTTAGGTCATCCTGCCGGCGGGACGATCCCTTTGGGGATGTAGATGCCAGGGTCGTGGATGTGGCCGTGCCACTCCGCCCCGCGTCACTGCGGTTTTCGGGGAGCTCCGCGCCCCCGGGTCCTCGGTCTCCCTCCTCGTTCAGGAAAAGGGCACCCCCGCGGACGGAGCGGAGGGATCCAGCGAGAGGGCAGCGCTTTGTTCCCGGGTCGATTCTCGCGCCTCGGGGGACCGGAGAGGCGCGGGGCCCG